ACTGTTACTTCATTACTACTGTAATTAACAAAATAGATAGATTGTCCGAATGCCGAACTAAGCTCTAACTAAACGGCTAGATGTTAATAGATTTGTAAAATAATAACCGCGAAAAATGTTGTTTAATACGTATTGGCTAACTGTTTCTGTACCAATAAAGATCTACCAATGGGCAAACCATGTCGTCAGTAGCTATTTTTTCATACGGATGCTGCCAGCGTGAAGTATGCCACTGGCAGCGGGAGCGTCAGAAATTAAATGAACGACTTTATTGATAATAAAATGCACCTTATTATTCCATACGTCATACAATAAACTTTATCGGCGTAATAAACGCTGCGATTCTTTTTTAACGCATTACAATGCAATGGCAACTGGCCAGTGAGCCTATGGCAGCAACCACAAATGCTTAATAAACGTTTAAAACTGCTCGACACGAAAATAAGCTATTTGAATACATATAAATAATAAAAAAAAATAAATAGGGAAGCCAAAAATAACAAAGTCAATTTAAAAATAGGTATCGTGCACAACTATCAGGGAAATCGACTTATAAGGAAAACTGAAACAATTCAAAGGAAACGCAGTTTTTCTTTTTGCTTTTAGAAAAGGGTGCATATAATCATAGCCATAAAAGTGATAATAATTATAGAACATATCAAGCCGATACGGAACTCATGAACACATTCCCGTATTAAGGAAGGCAGAAAATCTACTTTATCTACCTAAGCTCCGCACGTACTTGAAATCCCATTACAAACAGGACTCGTGTCCTTAAAAGCGCCAGCGCGTCCATTGGTGCTTCAGCTACTCATGCATTTTGATTCCGTCAGTGGCCTCTGAACGAGCGAATGAATTATTACCTTACAGAAGATACTTAACTGTGAAGAATCGATAGCAAAAACACGAAGCAAATATTTCACATAAATACTAATTACTATTATTTGCAACATCTTTGTCTAGGGCGCAGTATCTATTGTCGGAAGCTCATCAGGCCATACCTCTCAGCTTACCCTACAACCTATTCAGAGAGTCTGCGAATAGTCTTGCCAATTCAAACCCCTCATTGAACTACTCAAAGTTGACTGTGAACGATATACGATTAAGGTGAAATGACTGATGAAAACTGAGAGACGGATAAAATATTTTATGGGGGAAGTGTTTGTTACCGCGTTACACAACGTTTATATTGACTGGGCTAAAATCGACGATTTTCCAGGGAGATATATTGGTTTGAAAGCAAAAGCCTTTGTGAGCTCTATTATTGTGCTAATCTAGCAGACGTGACAAAGGACACTTATTAATTGCTTAAAAAATGTAAAATGTACTAGAAAACGTGTAAATTATCGAACGAATTCAGGTACTATCGATGTATTTGATGTTCTCGCTAACTAGTTCAATCTTCTGTATTACTACCGCTGAAGAGTTTACGATCCCTTTAGCTTCCTGCACACGGCTAAATTTCCTTTCACCGCCAATACACACGCTAAAAGCCCGCCGTCTGTACTGTATTAGGTGCTTTAGCAATACAGGGAACAATTTCGGCGACGCTGACAGTAGGGGAGTATGAAGATAATCAACTTACTCATACGTCATTGAGCGGTAAGTTGATTTAATGACTCGAGTAATTAATAGAGGATCCCGTTTTCAGCGGCAAATCGAACATCGGTCTTGGTGTTCTGGACGCGGAAAAACGTGGAATCTGGTGGAGCAAGTTACCACTGCGGCGCTAGTGAACGGTTTGGCGGGAACCGTCGAAACTGGGTTTTCTGTGATCTAAAATATCAAAGAGATCAGAACTTGATTTTTGTTTTCAATCGACACGCAGATTTCGTTGTTCGATAAAGATTACGTAAACGTAACACTAGAGATCACTGGAGCTGGAAAGCAACACGCAGTTGGAACTGCGCAGAACTACAAACGCAGATAAATATTAGATTACTATAAATATATGCTAATTCAAACGATTCCTGTGAACCAGTTTCTATCTAAAGCGCCTGCCTCAACAATCGGTCATATTGTGCCCGTTACAGGAACATCGACCCAAGTAACCATAAATTGGTCATCCTGTATAGCAGTATTGTATGCGCATTGGAAATCATTTAAGTCTTGTGCTAATACAAGAGTACCTACCGCTACTCGTCGGCGTAATACCTAACGCTTAATTGCAGCAGAAGTCTGCTGCTTTCTTTGGACGTTTGTAAATAGTAATATTTACTTATTCGTTGGCTGTTATTTTGTACATATATATATATGTATATTTTTTTTCATATATAAATATAAAAAAATGTTAATTGTTGATACTTACAAAAGTGTTTATTTAGAACACAAGAGCAATGAATAGCTCCGCACGACGTTTTGCTTTGTCAGAAATATTTACTGCTCTAACAATCAATGGACTTCGTTCTCAGTTATCCCATCCTAGCGAACAAATGCGGAGCCAACCGTTTTTTTTGTGGGGCGTCTATACAATTAATGATGGTACTTTTTTATTTTAAAATTGGAGAGGTGAAAACCATTAGGATGTGCTGAATGTCGTTCTCCCTAAGTGCGGGTTAGGCTATATGGAGATGACTGGACTGAATTTAACTCAGTTCTTTTAATACATAGCAATAAGTTGGAACAACTGAGATATTACTTTAGTCGGTAGTGGTAACCTGTAGAATGCAGACAGAACATATGTGACGTGGCACGGGCACACTTCAGCACCGCTTCGATATCGAACTTAGTTTTTGGTCATTGTGAGTTACTGTTTTGTAGCTTCCTTGGCAAATAAATGTATCGACCCACAAAAAACGTGAATCGTTGAAGAATTATCAAAGCTAAACGTGCCATGCCCTTTAAAGCATAGAAAAGCGCTAGATTTCGTACAAAACAAGAATTCATTCACAGTTTGCTTGTGTTTACTTCCAGCTATCAAGAAAGTGTAGACTAATATAATGTCATTCTTTTTGTTTCACAATAATCTTTGGTGGTACGGTGTATTATCATTCATATGAGCTATATATCATCAAAGGGATTGAACTGAAAGATCTTTTTTGTGACTGCTTTGACAATGGCATTGAGTCGGAATTTGTTTCGGAAGGCTGATCGGCACCGCAGTGAGGAAGGTGGAGACTCGAAATAATTCAGTTAACGAACGGTATTGAAGTTCCGCCTAACGTATTATTCTATTATGAATTTCGGTCAGTGAATAGCTATAGGTATTCTGCCGTTCGATATCGTTACAGCAAAGAAACTTGGGGTAAGTTGCAGAGCTGTATAGCCGATAAGGCACTAAGATTGGGCATACAGCTTTGGTACAGGAAGCCCCCTCGTCTCATCAAAGAGCGCCCATCGCACGTCATCCTGCCCTGTAATTTTTCCTATGTTGATCACGAAACTAACATACGTAAATTTCTTCATCCCTTCCACTGCGTCTTATATATTTCTTTCCCGCCCAGTATAATTCATTTAAAGTTCCGTATTTTTTGCCCGGGTTAAAAAATAGTTATCAGTGCACGTTATCACACGACACTTAAGAGTTTTATATGCCTCAACATATGAAATTGATGTCGGCGGTTCACATCAATCAGTGCACGCTCTGAGAAGACGTGCACAGTAGAATCTCGTTTCGGTGCGAAACACGATAATACACCTTGATCTTTTATATCGACAACCCACCAGGCCCACCAATTCCTAGTCCTGGCAAGAAACGTTGATATTTGCCATTAGGCGTAACTTATTGTCTTCAAACAATTTCCTGCTACATGCTCCTACAAACCGGGATAACTACTAGGATTAGTTGTAGGTAATGGAAGCCATGGTGTATGACCTTATCATTCCAGTGAGATGAGATCGAGGTTTCCCGAAGGTGCTGAATGCCTAAAAGGTGAAGGTAGCCATATAACACTGCAGTTGGCACGACATCGAACACATGTGAATACTGTCGTAGATATTGCTAGATGTGTAGAACTATAGCAAAAAGTAAAATAGCTGCTATCAAGAGAAGTGAGCTGAATGGCGCCAAGGTTTGAACTCGTTATGATGAAGGAGACAAAGGTTGGCCGATTTAGTGAGCTAAAAAACACACGTCATTTCAGAAGAAACACTCGCGGTGACTAATATCAATGAGGACGGTTATTTCTTAGACTACTGCAAGAGGAGAACGGAAGAGAACTATCTCTTATTCTTATACCTTTGATATATGCAACGACACCAATGAATTTGCAAACGTTTTGCGACAAAATCCTTTTTTTTAATATTCCAAAGGAAGAAAACACAGAGACGATCTGTAAGAGAGACGATAGCTATCGACATACTTTCAAAATGTAGCGTTACTATTCTGTATTCGCTTAAAGTGTTGTGTTGTTTGGATGATTTGAGGCTGACGCTGGCTATGCATGAGCTCTAATGTGGTTTATATGAGACTGTATTTAAGCGGAGGGTTGACCTAGAAAACAAATGAAATAACGGAATACAGAACATCACCACAGAAAGAACCTTCATACCCCCAAAAAGGGTTGTAGCTTAGACGCCCTAACATCGTCTCCACATTATATATATATACACATATATATATATATATATATATATATAGCAAATTCTGTATGAAGCAATCTAACAAAATACACGTTAAAGGTAGACGGAATTAAATATATAGCCTTTTTTTACTCACATAGGTTGTGTATTATATGTCATTAGCGGAACTTTAAGCAGCGGCCAGTTTCAGCTAGAGACAGAACCAAATACTGTAGGAGCTTCTTTCTGTATCCATAGACGACAAACAATTACATCGTGCTAATGTATTTTTCTAGTCAAATTTGCTAACTATTGTAGTAAGACAATTTGTCGACTTTTTTTTTCTCCAGTCGACATATGGTTATGTGATACACCGTGCAATACGACTGTGTACGTTCAGGCTGGTCTCTCCAATTCGACTGGCATTAGTCAACTGGGAGCACAGAGCAAAAGTGAACCCGTCGTAAGAAACGAAGCCAGTCTGTCACTTGGTAACTACAATTGTGTACTAAGGACATTTTTTAGAGCAATTTCATGAAGAATTCACTGTCGTTTGTAATCTTTTTGTAGGTTTACAACGTCTGTTCAATCGCGTTTATCACCCCATTTCTATTTAGGCTGGACATTCCGCTCCCTGACCTGTAGTGCTACTGCCCGTTGGTCCAAAGACTTACGGGTTTGTTAGTTATGAGAATTTTACCGTTGGTTTCTTTTTTGGTTGGGGCAGCCAATGCCAAAGCAGTTACACCGGACTGCCAGCACGCAAGTGCTCTAAAGCAGCCTAGGATCAGCGTCAGTGAAACAAAGGTACGAGAAATATATTTTATGGTTCTTACTTAGATCTGTTTGTCCAGCATGTTTCTTCTATGATGCCTACTATGCGGCATCAGACAAAGAACAATGGCGTCGAAAATAAAATGTCCTGTTAATTTTATTGAACTTTAATGCCTACTTAGACTAATCAACAAAGAAATCACTTAACCCAAGGAGTAACTTATCATCTTGTTACAAAGTTTAATAATCATTACATAGAAACGGTACATACAGCGCACTTGCTGCACAGCATGCTTTTTTACGTTCAATTTACGTCTTAGTTAAGCTGTGAGCGGTGAGCTCTGCGTTATGTTGCAGGTTTGAGGCTTTTGGCTCAAGTGTCTATGAATCCAAATGCGTAATTTGACCCAAGTTACCTCATAAGTTGAAGTTTCTTCAAGATACTATAGCGTTGATACTTGCAGGTTTTCAACTGTGCCTAAATCCAACTTTATGTGACAATCGATTTATTCAGACGATACGCGTAACGTAATCAAATCTGCTGTTGCGGCTAATTTTTTATTGGCACCTGCAGTAATGGCTCATAAGTTCAATCTTAGTAAGTACGAAGGGAGCTGTATCTAATGTGAATTCGGGGTTGTGTATAGAAACGTTTTAGAAGCGTCCGTGACAAGTAATAACTAATGAAATTGATTTACACTCTTTTGGAAAATGCCTGATTCTTACCCGCTGTTGTCAATTTTATCTTGTTTGTACGCTTGTCGATAATCGTTTTGTGGCGCGGCAGAAGTTCAAATATTTACAGTGTCTGCAGTAAGCACATATCAAACGTAGCAAAGTGTTTAGCACTCTTGAGAGCCTTAGCTTAAGATAGGCGGTATTTCTCAAAGAAACAAGAAAAACTGCTAAATACGTATTGACAATAACGTCTTTTCTGTTAACCCTCTACAGCTATGGGCATCCATCGGTAGATTTGGCCACTCACTTTTAAAACAAACTGCTTTGAGTGAAAACACCGGAGAAAATGTTTTGATTTCCCCGCTTTCCGTTCACTCAGCGCTGTCTAAAGTCGCGTTAGGTGTTAGCGGTTCCGGCAAGCAGCAGTTGCAGAAAGCATTACATACCGATGCAATAAAAGATGCGGAGTTGGTAAGAACGTACTCGAGGTTCATTTCACGGCAGGACAACGATACGGACAAGGTAACTTGAACGCCCTTTCCCAGCGTACCTTAACAGTTAAACGGAATAATGGTATGCAGCAAGTTTGACGGTTTTTACTTGCAATATTACTGAAATTTCTATGAATCTGCCATTGCTCGCTCGTTGTAGTCAAGGGGCTTTTTAGTGGAGTACATTATTGTAGATGTGTGACGCTTAATAGGAAAATTCTGGTTTGCCTAAGATTTATGTCTGTACCCTACAAAAACGGGTCTATCCAGAACGGGAGAACTGATACATTTTGCGAATATCAAACAATAATTGTTTAATTGATTGAGAATAAGATAAAAAAATAATTAATATCCATCAGTTGTTTGGAACTTGCAGTTCATCATACGACTGGCTAATCGGCTATACGTCAATAAAAGCGTATCAGTGGTTCAATCATATGTTGACCTGGTGAACAAGAATTTCCATGCGGAAGTTGCAAATGTGAACTTCGCTATTGACGGGGAGCGTATCCGAAAGGGGATCAACGAATTCGTCTATAATAAAACGCATCGTCTGATCCCGCACATCTTACAAAAGCCGTTACCGAATGACACGATGATGGTTCTCCTTAACGTGTTATATTTTAGGGGTAAATGGGCGAACCCGATGGGCGCAGAAATACGCTCACTAGCGTTTAATAGGCATTGTGATCAATTTAAAAAAATGCACAAAGAATGGATCAGTGCACGCCTAACGTGAGTAATTGAAAATGGACGTAAATTAAGAAATTTAAAGGGCAATCGCTTTGTGTGGGCAATCGTTGGAGATTACTTCGTAATCCATAGAAATTTGCTTTGCGAAATTTTCAGGTCGTCTTTTTTGCTTCTAGTGTTGACCGTAAATAATTAATAATTAATTCTTCGCTAGGATACCGTATCTGTTGTCGACGAAGCTTCAGGCTCAGCTGTTTAGTTTGCCGTACGAATCAACCGGTGATTATACAACGAGTCTTCTAATCATTATGCCGATGGAAGATCACAGCTGCAGTATCAAAAAATGGCTACATAGTATCAGCTGGAATAATATGCGAAAGGAAATAGGACGAATGGCATGTAAGTGGCCGATAAATATCTTAAGAACTACTACAGGCAGGCTGACGAGTGGTAGCCGACATCGGATTGTCAGGTCGGAGCCACGTCAGCGACCATCTTTCCCATTCAACTTGCGAAACTACACGAGCCTACTATTTTCAACTCGTGGTTTCCCTAACTTGTTTTATTTAATAATATATAATCGGTATTACGACCGTGTAAGCCTTCCTGTCCTTAGCGTCGCAGCCTTTTTCGAACTCGTCGTGAGCAGTGTTGTCTGAGTATTGACATTTCCCCACTAACCTGCCGTGCAGGCGCAGCGTAAGTTGATATTGATTTAACTCTACTCATGCGTCTTTCAGATGAAGATGTGTATTTTAAAATGCCACGTTTTGAGGTAGATTACCGCACAGAAATGAGAGATGCGCTCGGTGCAATGGGCATCAATGGGTTTTTTGAAAAACCCGATTTCTCCGGTATGATATCAACAAATCAACAACAAAATATGACTATTCTCGTCTACAAAGTCATCCACCAAATGAAGGCAAGTGCATGCTATTATCCCTCAAAAGTAGCTTAACAAGGTCTGAAAGGTTACTGTTCTATTTTTTCACATAGACATACTATTAACGCACGTGCTAAGGCACGTTTGGCCTCGCTAAGGGGACCATTTCAATTATGCCATAAATACGACATATATGTCGTATTTGTGGTATAACATATAACCTTCTCGCAAGCGACTAGGCGACGAGGTAAGTGATAAGGACTCGAATATTTAAAAAGCGACCCAGCCTTAGTTGGGAATCGAACTTGGATCCTCGTTCCTAAGCGCCATTCCTGCCGTCGTGGCAGGTGTCAAACGTAGAATGAATCATTAGAATTTTTAATAAGCAGTTCGGCGCAGACCGGAAGGACTGGCGGTTATGTAAAGATTTGAGTAAGAAGGGTTTCATATAATAAGCCTATAATTAAATGTAATGTAAACAATAGCAATCATGTATAATATGGCTGCCATGTTTATGTTAGACGTTAGATGAAAGCTGTAGTTGTGATACATTCGAATTATTCTTCTAAATAGCGAAAGTAGATCGATGACCACCTATCTGGAACACAGAACTAATTCCAACCCATAATTTTATGTCAACAGTTGATTGTAAACCAGTATGGAATTGAGGCAACTGGTACATCGGTCGCGCAGGTGATGCCCGTTTCGATGCCAAAAGTTGATGTGACAATTGATCGGTCATTCTACATGGCAGTATTGTATAAACATAGGGAATCGAATATGACTTTGCCTATAATTTCCAGTCTCATTGTAGATGTCTAAGAAGAAACTACTTACAAGCTACAAGCTTACTTACAACTTATGTTTTGCTTTAGTAATAAAAGTTCCAAGTTATTGATATTTGGCGAAATTATTGAAATAACGCATCGTAGTATCAAGGGTCGACACAGCCTGACAACGCTTGGTAGACAAGGAAGGCTAATTCAAGGGTACGCAGGAACATAAACTATCATGACATCGAGCTTTTTGGTTCCAATAAATATCGTAGGAAAATATAAAAATAAATAAAGGACAAGAAGTAATAATGTTCAATCTTATAGCAAATACTACACAAACTGCGATAAAGTAACGCAATTTATTTCTATCACTATGGCCGCTATAAAACGTAAACGTAGGTAAAGTCATTAGCTGAATTAAGATAATTACTTTGAAGCTGCCACCCGAAGGACCGCTTAGGTGAAGGCTCCTCATTATTGGGAAGAATCAGTCTCTGTCTGCTGTGGGCTAAAGAAAAACGGGCGGAGATTTTATGCGTATGTTAACAACAAGTTATATTGTGATATTGTTAACGTCAGCCGATAGTACCGTTTAGCAAAATGATTACGCGATACACAAAAATTATGCAAATAAGGTAGGTTATAGTATCGTACTCTTTGCCTATGTGTTCCTGTTTTTTGAGGAGTAAGTTTTTAGGGTTTTTTTTATTATTTATGGCTTATCTAGAACAGCGATTGTGAACAGCTGAACTAAGAGTACTCAAGATTATTTTGCCCTTTCGAGTAGCCCCCTTGCTTATTTAAGACTTATTTTTGTAAAACTACTGTACTAAACATAGGTCACCTAAAAAAAAGGGTGTTTAAAACGATCAAAAAAGGTGAAATTTAGGACAACATAGTTCTATATACACATAGGAATTGCAGTCTGAAGGAAACAATTCATTTGACCTCCTTTTTATACTGTTGCTGCAGACTTTGTAGGTTTCCGACACGTTAGATGTGTTCAGTGATGCTGAGATGTAAAAGACTGTTGACATGAATAGGTAACTACGTCCAGTACTGTTTTTTTTCCAATACTAACTCATTTCCAGTATGTTCTTTCGATTAGCAGCTTTTTGTACCCCCGAAATCTTCATCTCTCGCTAGCTTCCGCCTTATCTTTGTACTGCCGCCGTAAGCAATCGACCGAAAACTTCCGATCCTTGTCTATTATTTCGTACTACCGAGTCTGTTGTGTTGTGCGAGAATTGTTCTGTGTCTTTCCTTGTCTGAGGCCCTCATTCCTTCTAATCCTCGTTTGCCCCCATTGTACCTAACCAGAGGGCCCCAGGCTGTTACCCACTTTCCTTTATTACGGTCATCTCTGTGACGAGACAAGCAAGAATTCAACTGGCAGGATGACTGTCTCTGGTGGAAAGTCATACAGCTACACTTGACGTGGAACGAATCCTGCCTAAAACGTACATGGTTCGCATTGTGGTAAGATATGACGGATTATGCGGTTTTTTGTGTCGCAACGCCAACGAAGATGACTGTGCGGCTAGCTAAGTCCGACGGCAAGATCCGGTGCTAGCTATTCGTCCATAACGAAGCAAGAGGGGCATGGTCAGTTAAGTAGAGATGGTCAAGGAGAAAGTTCCTGCAGAACGAGTATCATTAATGTTTCGTTATATAAGCGGTTTGAATTTGTGTTCGGTTCAGTTACCGTCAAAGCATGATCATATTCGCCAAACGCGCCAAGACAGTGCAACGTAACAATTGTGGAATGGCATACGCCGTGGGAAATACAACGCCTATCATTGGAGTGTTTGAATCGACATTTCCTGTGTACTTTACGCAATGAGAGATAATGACAAGACAAGAGGTCTTAGTTCGTATCTTGCATTAGAGAAAGCAGTGTTGTGTGAAACTCCATGTTTACACGCAAGCGACCCTTATACCCTTATATATATTATATATAAAACCTTATACTGATCTATGTGCACGGGCGAACAAACACTCGCTCACTAAATCATTCTAGTTCGCTGCCGACCAAATACCGGACTTCGTGTTGGACGGCTCTCCGTTGTGCATCCCACTGCTTACTTACGTAATCTAAACCTTATCGTCAACTGCTTTAGCTTAAGCTGCTAACGCCGTGCCGTTGGGTGCATCTGCATTTCCAACAGTTCTTTTGGCTTTTGGTCCTCATCAAACCCACTCATCCAGCGAAGGAAGATGCCACGATTTAAGCGGAGGGCAAATGTAGTAGAAGTGGCAGCAATGTCTCGCTTGTACACTATGTAACCCTGTGTGCTCCTGCCACCAGAGCTTATAGGGGGCTCAAGGTATGATGAAAAGGAAGAAAGCATCGTTGCGCGGCAGACCATGCTTCTTCGGCGACGTGAGGCGCCTGTATCGAAAGAACTTAAGCCGGACGCGTAGATCCCGTCGAATCGACAACGCGCGCGGACTTCTCTTGACGTACCCGCACCGGTCTTACGTTTTCACCTTGCCTCTTTTCAACCACATTCTTCGTCCCTCATGTGGCTCTTATCTTCAAGATTCTACCCGTATATCTCTAGTTACGGTTGCAAGCGGCCGTAACTGGAGATATACTTGCACCCTAGCGTCAGTGCTGTAAAAGCTTGCTCTTGATTTGCTTGCGCCATCGGAAATGAAGCCGGAACCGTTTCCGCAGTCTCATTGATGAGACGACGAGAAGCGAAGGTATAGAGAAGCCCGAGAGATCTAGCTACTAGGACTAGACAGGCGTTGTACGAGAATAGGTGACGACCTGTCCCATTGCTTTACTACTACTACCATTACTCTTACAGTTGGTCCAGCCGTACAGCGAAATGGGTGTTGTTACTGTCGTGGCATTTCCGCGGGAAAACGATCAAGACAGGGCACGAGCTGCTAGAGTGAACTATAAAGGCAAAATGGTTAAATGAGGAACGTACCAGTAAGGAACAGGAATAGACTCACCGACTTCACGAGTGTGATGGCAGCGAGATGGCGACGAAGTGCAAAGCACGCAGTGAAGCAGCTGAACCTCCTGCCAGAACGGGTCTACCAGTGAACCCACTACACAGGCACAATGCGGGGGCAAAGCATTACAAAATCAACTGTGACACCTTTCTTCCTCAGCATGATCATTGCGATGCCTCCTCATAGCTGCACTATTCCAGTGTTAGGATATAATGCGCGATGGCGCATGTTTGAGTAATCTTGAAGCAGTTAGGCATCGTAGTGTATTCCTAATACATGTAAAAAATACAGTATATTTATCTAGGACATTATATTAGGGATTGGGTGGTTCATTTCGAAGGAGGTAAGCTCCAACGAAAGTATGTGAGAGCGAAAATTTAGTATAGACTATGTCCCCGATGCTGGATTCGTTCTATAATAATAGTTGCTCGGCAAAATCTCAGCGTTAATTTTGCTTGCCGTGTATAACTAGAGCCTGTTAAAAATCACTCTTCTTCAAAAACCACTTAATGCCAAACATTATTTTTTGAATCTATTTTAAAGAATGATTTATGGTAGTGCTGCATTCAGTACCTCTGTGTGGCTCAGACGAGAACGATAGCAATTTAACTATCGTTAATTTGTCATTTACTTTCCAAACAACAATTTTTTTTCCATAGATCTGTTAGAAGTTTCCGAAGAGTAGAGAATCTCTGGCATGTTCTAAATGAAAAAATTTTTAACCGCGTTTGAAATTCTCAAAAATTACAGACTTCATTTAAAATTCACCAATAGTATTTATTAACCTAAAATTACTATAGGATTATCGTATGAGGTGTGAATAACCACTAAAAATATTGAGCTGACCACAGAAAACATTGAAGCATATCTGAGTCATAAATGTGTGTGGATATTGTGCCTCATATTAAGTATGAGACAAGCCGTTAAATTCAAGTGCGATGACCTATTGCAAATACCTTTGGAAGTGGTATTATTCGAACTTTAGAGGAAGATACCGCGAAGCTTCAGATTCCTCAAAAACCCTATAGAGAGAAAGTAAAATACATCTAAACTGCAGAAAATGTTGATTCCGGATTTTCTTCCCGTGGAGAAAACCGACAAAAGTTGGTACCGAGATCGCGTAAATTATAGGAGTTAGAACAAACTGCACAATTTTTAAGTAGAACTTAGTTTTCGAGACAAAGTAAAAGACCAACCTGTAAGTATTTTTGACGCAAAAAATGCCACTAGGTACCCTATATGAGATAAGCCCAAGATGACGTTTCCTTCAGTTTTTTTCTCAAGATAGTTTGTTCTTCGGATAGATACTGTCTTTTGGGTTTGTCTTGTATCTCCGTGTGCAAAGACGATATGTTTTTTTAAACATATTGTACGGAATATGACATTCTATTCAAAATTTTCCTATTTAATAAATAGTTTAAGCATATTCATCAAAACAGATCGTTTTCTGACTAGAGAATACGGGTGGACGACACCTTCAATTCTGCACACGCTAGTTATTATCCGTATTATCATAGTCATATAAAGGAAAATAAAGCCCACCCGAAATCGTATACGTGAAATGTTCGTTTCGTTCAATAGAATCCGTTTCGTCCCTCATTCTTACTTACGCATTTTGATCTAGTGAAGTTGAATCCAGTTAGAAACCTCTTATTTAAATGTGTAAGTTATCTGAAATTGTTGCTTGCTCAACAAACAGACCTAACTACTGCCCATCTCATTATGGAAATTTAGTTCGGAAAGAAGGCTTTTGCAGACATCAGAAGGCTCCATATTCCTAATAGTAGCTGGAAATTGCAAATGCTTTTAGAACCTCGGTGCACTCGAAGCGGTGAGGCTCGTCGGCGAGAAGTGCGTTGACTGGCGAATAATCGAACTTATGTGATGATGCCTAAGGCCAACGGAAAGGTCAGAAATGACCTTTGTCCAAATCTATTAGGTTTGTGCTTTTTATGGGCTTTTTTAATGCCACGTTTGTAAATGGTCAAGCGTTATACACCGTTATCACCGCTTTATTTAGATTATAAAATCTTTCTTAGATTAAACTCACGAGGTGGGTAAATCTGATGGCAAGATAAGTGTTTTCGAACTTTTTAATCGCATTTAGCGAATACCGGAGAATTTCCGAGGGCACTCGGGACAGCCGTGGCGTGAACGACGAAAATTCTGTAGTTGAAAGGACTATTTGGCCAAAGTTGCTTGTCAGGCGTAGAAATAACATCTTCGTCTTGAAGAACGGGACTAGAAAGCTAAAGAACACTGAAAGATGGTGACAGTGTTGGTGTGCGCAGATTTG